CCTCCAGGTCCCATGTTTCTGTTCAACAAGCACTGGTTGAGATCCCCATGGGTGCCCAGCCTGTGCTAGGCACCAGTGAACAGGACAGGCAGTATCCCTGTTGTGACAAGGCTCACAGTTCACCTCTCCAGTCTTAACTCGCCTCTCCTCCACATACCAACCTGCCTGGACACAGCGCCTACTGTCCAGCAGGCTCTGCTTACACCTCCTCCCCCTCCACCCAGGCTCTCAAGAGAGAAATGTCCATCTGCTCCCACAGGAGTAACTGCCCAAATCTCAGTCACCCCCGAGAATGCAAACAGGACCTTTAACATGTGGAATGGGGGAGGGGCGAAGAGTGACCCTGATCATGTGGCCCCCACGTGCCACCCTTCGCAGCATGTCATCTTCGTAGTAACTCCGCGAGTTTGCTACCTTTGTTACGCACAGGAGGAAGCGGAGGCTCAGAGAGAGGAAACCACTTGCTCAAGGACACACAGGAGAAAACAGCCAGCAGCCTGCACACACAGGTCAGCTGTGTTAGCCCTTTCCCTGCACCTGTGGAGCCCAGGACCCGATGGTGCCGGCCCGCTGTCCTGGTCGATGCACTGGAGGCCCTGCTCTGTTCTCTGGGCATTTCTTGCTCCCGTGGAAATCAGCAAGTTCGAGAGAAAAGGGGACTATTCTGAAAGATGAAAATGGCTCATCTATGAATGAACTGTGAGTGAGATTTCCCTTTAATTCAAAAGGTTCTCCTCTAGCTTCCCAGCTTCTGAGAATGGAGACTAGACAGGAGCCACTGCTTGGTGCGTTCAGGCAGCACATCCCCCCCCATCTGCCAACCTGCCCCCCTTCTCTCTCACCTATGCCAACTGGAGTGGGCACTTCAGGAGAGACACACTGGAAGGGGAGAACTAGGGGCAGAGATTAAAAATCTGCTCACCATACCCAATCTGCATCCACCAACCCCTGGAAAAGGGGACACACCCTCGCTATCTCCTCCCTCAGAACTGCCTCAGGGCTGGAGTTCTTGGGACCAGCAGCAAAACCAACTTCAGCAAGTTCAAGGGGGAAGGTTGGTGCCAAGTCTTAGGCTGTGGAATTGGATTCTGAAGGATACAGGTGGGGCTTGTCACCCCTGCATGGATGGGTGTCTGGTCTCAGCCCTCCTCCTGCAGTCCGCAGGCTCACCTAGTCAGCACTCCAGCGTGTGGCTGCTTTAAAAGGGGGAGCTCATTAAATTACCACCATGTGTGACCTGTCCAATACCTGGAGGCTTGACAGGGGCAGCCCGCTATCGCTCTTATCACTCATTGTTTTTCCTTCCAATCAGTGGAAATATTGAAACTGAGTTTTCCTCTTAGCTCGGCTCTTTGGGAAAGAAGACTGTGTGCGGCTCACCTCCACACAGAGACGTTATTATTGCTGTGATTATAATTGTCTTACTCTTTTGTCCCCTTATCTAAGTTTCCTATGTCTACTTTATCTTGTTGCAGTACCTGAATCTTAGTGCCCCACCCACCTCAAATTATTTTTGGAATAAGGTGAGTTCTCAGCCCATAGAGGCGGCCCCTGGTTTGAATGAAGGTGTGGGGGTTGGGGGAGAGCATTGTAAAAGGGGCACCTGGGTTTGGAGAGAACGCCTGAGGGTGAGCCCTGCTGGAGGCAGGGGCCTATATCCTGCAAGAGGCCACGGGACCAGCTGCCACGGCCAGCATGACTTCCCCAGCCACTCTGCTCTGCAACTGCTTCTGGTTCTGTTTTCCAGATGAAGCTACTGGCAGAAGAGATCCCACATCTGACCCCTGCTGCCCTGGTCTGAGCCTGTCTGTCCAGGGGTTTCCCTGAAGAATGTCACACTGTCCACAACAAGCCCCCGGAGCTCCATTCTCCACTCCCAGGCAACAGCAGAGCAAGGAGCCCTGGCCTAGGTATTTTGCATCTCTTGTAAGTCACCTTCCTCTTGGACAGGAGAGTGGGGGCTGTGCACTGATTCCACTTTGCTGATCAACATCTCCTGAGTAACTTGAGAGCATCTCTCTTTGAATCTTAACGCTTGCCGACAGTTTCTAGACTGAGTCATATCTCCAAGGTAACTGTAAATACCATCATTTCTGATGGCCCAGCCGGCTACTTGCAATTATCCAGATTAATGTCAAGTGGGCACAGGAAGTGTATTCTGGCTGAGCCCACGTCCACTCGGAACCCTGCATGCCTTGGCCAGGCTGGTGGCCAGAGCCCGAGTCCTCTCCCACGTGGGCTGGCACCTGCTCCTGGCAACACGCTGGAGGTGGGGAGGGAGGGGTGCTGGCGACACGTAGCCATGAATCCCCTGTGGTCTGCATTTGTACTCTTCTCCAGCACCCAGGAGAGAATGCCCCGGAGGACCAGGGGACCTTGGCTTTTCATGTGAGACCCACCCTGAACTAGGAAAAAGCAAAGGAGCAAAGGCAAGAAAGACGTGAGATTCCGATTCAGAGAGTCCATTTCTTTCCCTGCTCCTGGAGCCTGAGCAGGAGCCCGTCTCTATGAAGCCTCGCCCAGGATACTCTCCGGGGACCAGAAGGGCTCCACCCTAACTTTACCCAAGGGGCACTTTCTCTTCTCTTTTCCTGTGTCTTGTTTCTAAGACAGACAAATAAATTGCTTGGTGTACATTTTGTTGTTGTTATTAATCCTCACCCTAGGATATTTTTCCTTTTTCTTTTTTTTAGAGAGAGTGGATGGGAAGGAGAAAGGGAGACAAGGAGGAGGAGGAGGGGAAGAAAGAGAGAGACAGCGACAAAGACAGACACATCGACAGCTTGCCTCCCACATGGGACCAGGATCAAACTTGCAACCCAGGTACATGCCCTTGACTAGGCATTGAACCTGCGACCCTTCGGTGAGAGGGCCAACACTCTGACCACTGAACACACTGGTCAAGGCAACTCGGGGTGCTTTTAAAGTGTAAAAAAGATTTACACTTCACTGAGTGATTATGACATTTGCTGACCACATACTCTCAATCTTTGGGGAGAAAAGTGAGAAAGAGGAGAGCAGGTGAGGGGACGGACACAGGAAGTCATATAGAAGGGAGGGAGGAGGGGGAAAATCACCAGGGAGGAAAATAAATGGGGTGGTGAGGAGGCTACAAAGAGAGGAGTCAGAGTATTTGCCGAATGAACGAAATGAATGCTGAAATGTCCTCACCTAAAAGTAAGATACTAAGGGTCAAGGGGAAGTGGGGATCCTCACCAAAATTCCTATACCTAGTAAGGGTTGGAGGGAGCACTAGATCCCAGGTCTCCCCAATATCCACTCTAAGGGAGGGTCAGCCTCACTTCCTCAAGGGCTGGTGTTTGAGCTCCTCAAGGCCTGGGTCTGGTCTCTCCAGGAGCCTGCCCAAGAATGGATGGCCTGGTGTCTCATCTTACTTACATCTCACTGCTGGCTTCTGCCCAACCTAATTCCCGAATAAGAGCCCTAGCCCAGGAAGAAATGGGGGGTGAATAGGAAACCCCAGCTCTAGTGGCTGCTCTGCCTCTGACTTGCTGTGTGACCCAGAGGAAGTGTCTTCCCCTCTCTGGATCCCTGAATCCCCTCTATAAGGTGTGACCAGGGACTGGGTGAGGAAGCCAGGCTGGCTTTGCTGAGTCCTCTCAGCAACCTTACCCCTCACAGCTAGAATGGCATAACGAAAGTGCTCAATAAATATTGAAGACAACTGACCGAGGAATAATGCTAGACTACCTGGGAGGGCTGGGAAAGCTGGGAGTCTGTGGTTTTGGGGAGAGAGCAAAGCAAAGGTATCCAGCTGAATGAAGGGAGGTTTCAGCTTGCACCGGATGGTTGTGTTTGAGACGCTTGGGAGCAGTAATGATTATATCAGGAAATGGGACATTTGCACTGCCTCAAAGGCAGATAGGATAAAAGCAAACCCCTTGGTATCTCCTGACAAACACTGGAGTCCCGGGCATCCCAGTGCAGTTTTATGTGCTTACCTCAAACAAAAAGGTGTGAGTTATTCACCACCACTGATTGCCCCTCCTACTCTTTGCAAATTGTGGGCAATGAGACAGCAACTGCCTGGAGCTCCTAGCCACCCAGAGACAGTCCCTAGCGCTCCCCCCTCCCCCAGCCCATAGTGCTCTCTGCTTCCCCAAACTCCCTCCCCACAGGTCACCCCATTCTTTCCTCTCCTTCTCTTCTACCAATCACCCAGGCACCAGCCAAGCTTGGACACCCTCAGCACTGACCTCCACAGTCCTCCAACTGGAGGGCAAGTTCCCCACCTACAGAAATCACCCAAATCTCCCCGTCAAATTTGAAAATGTGGGTCCTTGCTCTCCTCTCTTCCCCCACAGCCCCAGCAGAAGCACATTCCCTAGCCCCCACGCTTGCCTATAGCACCCGGTGTCACCTCTCTACCACCTCCACCAAGCCAGGGCTCAGAGACTCAAACCACCTCCCCAGGTTGCCCCGCCCAGCACCCTATCACACTTGGTTGGACCAATCCAATCGCCCATCTACCACTGACTGCCCTTATCGGAACCAGAACCTGTGGGTTCAGGCTGACTTGAACTTAGAATGGAAGTTCAACACAAAGTGAACTTAAAGTGGAGGGATCTTGAAGTTGGGCCTGGGTTCAAGAGTGACCTCCACCACTCGCCAACAATTCTTAAAGGCAGTCACTTGAACCTCCGTTTCCTGGTCCGTAATGAGGAACCATTACCATGTGCAGAGCAAGGACTGTGCTAAGGATTTTATGTGCATTTTTCTCATTTCATTCCCTACTGCCGAGTGAGAGCTGGTACTTTCATCATTATTGTCATTTTACAAAAGAGGAAGTCGGGCTCGGGGAATTTACACCCAAAATCACTTGGCCTGTGGATGATGGAGCCATGCATAAATCAAACCCAGCTCTGCAGGATTCCCACCCCACCCCCAAGCCCCCAGACCCCGGGATGTGCGGAGGCAGCAGAAGCAGGGCCCTGCCCAGCCAGCGTGCTTGCTCCTCCCGGTCTCCCGCCCCGCACTACCTTCCTTGGGCGCATTGGCGTCCCAGACGCTCCACATCTGCACAAAGAAGAATGGTGTCCAGCACACGATGAAGGCCAGCACGATGATGAAGGTCATCTTGACCGTGCGGATCTTGGCCCTGGAGATGAGCTTGACGCTGCTGACTCGAGCCAGGGCCGTGCCCTCCCTGCTGCCCGGCATCGCGCCCTCGGGCCCCTTGGCCGCCCCCTCCGCCGCCGTCTTGATCCGAAAATTCTGCCAGATCTTGAAGCAGATGAGGCTGTAGCAGGCGGTCAGCACGATGACCGGCACGATGTAGACGGCGAGGGTGATCCACGTGACGTAGGCCTTGGGCCCCCAGGGCTGGATGAAGCCGGCCCAGCAGTCGAAGACGCCGTCAGCCACCTCGCGTATGGAGAATATGTGCACCTGCGGGGCGCTGGCCACCAGGCAGCCCAGCCACGTGAAGCGGTCCAGCGACATGAGCAGCAGCAGGTAGGTGGAGGCGAACATGCCCACAACCTGTAAGTACTTGACCAGGCGGCACAGCAGGTCAGGGCCGTAGAAGCGGAAGGTGATGTCCCACAGCAGCTGCGGCAGCACCTGGAACACCGCCACCACCAAGTCGGCAATGCTCAGGTGCTTCATGAAGAAGAAGAGGCGCGAGTGCTTGTGGCGCGTGGTGCGCAGCGCCAGCAGGACGCAGGCGTTGCCGCTCAGTGCCAGGAAGAGGATGAGGCACAGCACGGCCACCTCCACGCGCGCCAGGGCCTCGTTGCGCTGCGGCGCTTGCGTGCGGTTGCCCTCTGCCCCCGGAGGCGCCGCACTCCCATTGACCACCTCCGCGCTCCAGTTGGCCTCAGGGGTACCCTCCATGACCGTGGCCACCACTGCGTGATCCTGGCCTTTGGTGCTTTTTAAGGCGCGACGCGATGGGGCGGGACCCGACGGGGTAGGGCGCAACGGGGGGGCCTCCTGGCGTGCCTGGGGCGGCTCTGATTTCTCTCCCGGAGACTCCGCGGGCAGATCTGCTGGGTGGGACCCTGAAACAAACCCCCAGGGCCTTGAAAAGACCACCACAGTTCTCTACCGACGCACGTGCAGCGTAGGTGTCCCCTTCCCAGGACCGCAAATCCTCTGAGACTCGGGGCACAACTGCCAGCCCGGGATTGCTCAGCCGCCACCCCAGAAATCCCCGTTTGCGGTACCTCCTCTGAGCTGCTGGAAATGAGCGCGAACCTACCGGACAGCCAGTTCCTTGTGGGATTCAGTCGCTTCGACAGAGGAGAGGGGAAAGTCCTAATCGGCCACTGTGCCCCAGGACTGGGACGCCTACTAAACTAGCCACCTTCCCCAGGGGTCCCCAAACTAGCTACCCGCCCCCAGGACTCTCAGCGAGAGTCCACTTCCCGGGAGACCCCCAAATCTTTCCTAGAAACGTTTCTCCCGTTACTTCCCCCCGGAGATCCCTGGCAGCCCTTGCCTGGAAAACCACAGCTCAGGACCCTCCTGCAATTTCCTGTTTCTAAGACGCTTAACCATCCCCCCAACCCCGAATTTCCACAGCAGCTGCTTCCGTGGAACCCCAGCCCAGCGGTCCCTTCTAGGAAACCCTGCCTCAGTATCTGCCTCCAGGACGCCCAACCGCTGTTCCCAAAACCCCTCCCGCGGGGTCCTCCCGGACCCAGTCCCCTCCCGAAGGGCGCTTCCCCAACCCAACACCCTCGGGCATTCCAACACGCATCTTGGTCCCTAGAATCATGGGCTCTGTCACTTTACAATCTTGGGGCACCCCGCGCGCCTACAGGAACCAGGAGATCGAGGCATTTCACCACTTTCACTTGGATCCGAAATGGCCCATCAGTCCCAGCCATCCCATCCACTGAGGGGCAGGATCCAGGTACCTGCACCGAATCCACAGACTGGCCTGAAGTTGGCTCCCGGAGTTGCACCACCGCGGAAGACTCCAAAGATGCCTGCGCTCCCAGCCCAGGTTGGGGTGGCTGTGTTGGCACCGTCTGACACTATATTGAGTTCTTGCACTCAGGCGCCTCCGCAAAAATCCACTCCCGCAGCCTGATGGTCGCAGGATGGGGACAGAGGCGAGCGAGGAGCGCCACCCAGGCTGGTGCGCGCGGACAGCGTCAGCCCGCGGTGTCCTCTGCCAGGGGCCGCTTTTCTGCAGCGAGTGACCGGGGCTGCACCACCACAGAAACCCGCCGGGGGGCGCAGAAATCTGACAGAGCCGACCCCGCAGAGCCAGGTTAACCCGCTAGGCGTTGGCAGCGGTAACCAGCAGGTTTATTTCAGAGGCTTAAAACTGGAAGGAAGGAACCTGTAAATAACCCTGTTGGTTTCTTCCTTTCTTGGTTCAGAAGCTGAAGACTCTCGGGCAATGGGAGGCTTGAATAGCGGTGTTTTCCCGAGTAGATGGTGATGAAGTTGCAAAAGCATTTAACTGATATTTCCCATATACCAGGCAGGTTAATTTCAGGGCCTTTCCCCCCCTCCCAGGGGCTTGATGTGGTGGATTTTCCAGTGAATCCGAGTAAGTCCTTGCTTTGGAATACTTTTGCTCATATTCCCATTCTTGAGGAATTAGAAATGCTGTCTGTTCTAATCAGCACGGGGAGAGGTCTTCGTTGTTTAAGTAGTTTTAGGGAGCGATCTCAAGGGGATTGAGGGTTATATCTTCATTTTAAAGTGATTCTGTTCATATGGGGCCCTAAATCATTTCTACCTCCTTGCCATGCTTCAAAATTAAACTCCTACATAGTGCCAAAGGAAGGTTAAATGTTAAAGACTGCTCCTCTGGCTCCTAGCTCCTTTTCTATTCTAAAATTGGTTTTTGGAGTAATTTACAGTGGCTATAATGAAGGCAGAAGAAAAAAAGTGGAGATTCAAAAAATAACAGAGCTCTTTAAAATTTATTAAATATGTATTTCCTCCTGACATTTCACTTCTCCTTTTCATTATGTGGACACAGCTGAGTTAGCCAAGGACCCTGTTTCCTGATTCCACAATTACAGTCCAATGCCAAGACTCCGGGCTGACCCTTAAGTAGCCCTGGGCCCTCGGTTCTAGTGAACTGCGCCTTCTAGGATGGGGCCTGGGGATTCCACTTCCTGCAGCATTGTGAAGGGGTGAGAGGCAAGAGTTGTCTTTTTTAGAAAACAACTAGAAATATTTGTTTAGAAAAATATTGTTTAGAAAAATTCAACTGAGTCCATTTTAAAGATTGTATTGGTTTTATGTAATGATTCATGAATCAAGCAGCATCCAATCTAGCAGACAGAAAGCAGCTCAGAGGACTCTTACAAAATGAAAGACTTTTTATAAGCAGAAGGGAGCAGAAGGAGTTATACTAGGCAAAAAGTGGTTTGGTTATTGCAAAGTTACTTTCCCTGTAGGAGATGATGGGTTTATCAGGTAGATTACCTAATTAGTGCTGATCAGGGGACTCCTGGCCGGTTTAGGATTCCATCTCTGGGAGAGTAGAACTGTAATTAGGTTAAATCTCAGTTTGGCAATGTTGGACTTAGCATAAGTAACACCACTTGAGGCCTGTTGTCTTGTGTGGGTTTTTTAAACAATATTAATAGTATCTGCCACACTAATTACATATGAAAGTTTCAGACCACTCAGATGAAGATTAAGTGACTCTGGGCCTCCATTTCTGCATAAGTAAAATGAGGGCTGGTCAGTAGCTAATCTCTTAGATCACATCCTCTGGTTTTCTGAAGTTTTATGATCCATGCCACATCGGAGCTTAATCCTAGGGGGTAAAACACATCAGCCCCATTCCATGGCCAGATGATGAGGGGTTTCCCCTAAACACCCTGAGGGGTAAATTCTGGAAGGAAACCTTGGGCCTGAAGAGCCCAGCCTGCCCCTCACTCTGCAGGAAGAGAGCTGCCTCAGGGAACAGTTTTCCTGGGCCACTTCTCCAAGGCTACACTCTTCCAGCCCACATGAGAGGCCTGCCCAGTCCTATGCAGAATTCTGGACACACTTAGCAGGGCCATTCGGTCTCATACAATAGATAAAATCTCATGTAGCCTTCATCGGGGGTGGGGGTGGGGGAGGGGTGAATGGTTTGATTCCCATTCATCTTGTTTTATTTCTCAAGTGTGCAAAAGCCAGGCGGGGATGCGGGGAGGTGCTATTTACTGTGGGGTCCCTGTGAAGACTCCTCACAATGAATAAGACATGCTCCCACCCCCAGTGCCTCCAGCTGAGGAGACGTTGCCCCCACCCCACATGAGCAGTGCTTTGCAAACAGGGAAGTATTGTACAACTCACTCTGTGTTATACTGACAGTCCTCACCCCAGGTCCATCCAATGAAAACTGTTTCTCATCCAATCAACCTCCATCTTATTAATCCTTCTGGATGGAGTTCCTCATGCCTTTTCAATTCAGTTAGCCAAACACCGTCTCTCTCTCTCTCTCTCTCTCTCTCTCTCTCTCTCTCTGTCTATCTATCTATCTATCTCAATCCCTTTCTCTCTCTTTAAAATCTATTTAAAAATATCTTGGGGTGAGGATTTAAAAAAAGGAACTTTCTAACAGTACATTTGAGGACTTTTTAACAACACAAAACTACAAATACAAACCACAATTAAAAAGGACAGTAACTCCTTTGAACCTAACTGGTGTGATGGGAATTCTAAATCTACCTAATCAGGGACACCCTCTTTCTCTGACTACCCTGCCCTCTGGGAACTCCCCACTTTCTGAGCCTCTGCTGGGTGAGCGCAGGTTTGCACAGTGCAGATTTCACTGGTAATGTGAATGTGCTCAGTCTCCCCATTCCGTTGTAAGTGCCTAGTATCGATCCCATATATCAAAGTCCTTTATGTATTTACCTACCATCTTTCCTATCATACATACCTATCAATAAAAATATGTTGAGAAAATGATTGCTGGACTACCCAAGAACATCCCTCAACAAATTAGTCACCAGGGGCAAGCCTGTGCTTCCCAGAACAGTATTTCTGTGGAAATCAACATGAGGAGGAATCTTTGTGAGAAAGCATGTTACTCATGCATATGTGCCATTCTTCTAGAGAGGACATGATGACAGAGATAAGGCATGATGCTTCTAATTCCACGAACATGCCCACTGACAGTGGATGTCACAGCGCAACTATTTAGAAATTGGCATAAAAAAATGTTCTCCCTTGGTACACTGTTGGCCTAGGTTAAGACATAACTAGAGAGAAAAGCATTTTTCAGTAATCACAGACCTTGGAATAAAAACAGGCTGTTCTGTTGCAGATGGAAAGGCTTATTCAGAGTCAGGATCTTTGAAGTTGTGACTTCTTTTGGAGGATTAGGGCCTGGAAGAGTGGAGGGTCATTTAAAAGTGGCCATACATCTCAAAACAAGCAGAATGGCTGTGATTCTCGTGTCTATTTCACAGAGGAGGAAATGGGTTCAGAGAGGGAAGGGGGCTTGCCCACAGCCACACAGCTGGTTAAGAAGGCCAGCATGGCGGGCATGAAGCATGAGGCAAATGTAGAGAGGGTGGGAGAACCAGACCACCCCCTCTGGGAGCCATGGTGGGGACTTTGTGCTCTCTCTCTCTCTCTCTCTCTCTCACTCAGGGTGCCAGGAAGATTTGGGGTTTTTAAGGAGAGCTGTGATCAGTGATAAGCATTTACATTGTGGGGGTTGGGGGCATAGATTGGAAGCAGGCAAATCAATTAAGAAGCTGTTGAGAACAGAGGTAGCCTGAATAGGGTGGTGCCTGGGGCCACATGGCAAGGACTTGCCTAGTGTCACAAGTGAAACCAGACCACACTCTCATTTGTCCATGGACCCAGCCACCCCCTGTGCCATGAAAGGCCTGAGCAGCATTCAAGAGGCTCTGGAGGTGAACACTGGAAAGATGTTTTGGTAAAGTAGAGGGGGGCTGAGGAAAGAGGGTAAGAGAGTTCCCTGGGATCATGTGAGGTCAGTCTAGATGCACACAGGACACACAACTAAAACAAAGCTCTCTCTTCTGTCAACACTCCTGCCCATTTCTATCAGCTCCTAATAGGATTGAGAAGGAACCTGCCGGAAACTTCAGTGACCTGACAGCTCTCAATACAAAGCTGTCCCAAGCCTCAGGCAGCCCCACCTCTCCTCCTCCACCAATTCCAACAACCATTCATTGTTCTTCTTTATTAAAAAAAAAAAGAAAGAAAGAAAGGAGGAAAGAAGGAGGGAGAGAGAAAGGGAAAAGATATTTCTTCCCAGAGGGGTAACCAACAGAAATCTGCCTGGGATGCTGACCACCTTGTACTATTTCCTGTGCTCTGTTATGCACAAACATGCATTTAATACATATTTTCTAAGCACCTGCTGGGTGCCCAGTGGAGTGATCCTGAAAGGCAGTGCTGTGGGTCCAGAGTTGAACTCCACCAACCAGTGCTCCGGAGCCGGGTGAGAAAATCAAGGCAAGCAGAGGGACCAGAATCTCTGCCTGAATTCAGTTACAATGCCACCAGGAATGCACTGTCCGGTGTGGCCCATGGGCAAGCACCATGCCTGCCTGGCCCCATTTTCTTTCCTTAAAATGAGACAATCTCCATGGTCCCTCACAGCTCTCGCTTCTTATCATCCTCTAAGTCTGGGCAGCAAAACACACACGGTGAAGCAGTGAGTATAGAACAGACGAATGAAGCATCCTCAGTGTCAACGAGGCTCAGGCACATAGTAGGTACTCAATAAACACTAGCAGAAAGAATGAGTATGTGCTGTATGGGAAAGGCTAACATGCTCTATAGAAAGAGTGAGTCCAGCCAGTGAAATATTATCATTTTCACCTAGCAGACAGATGAAAATGAAAAAGGAAAATGCCCCGGGGGGAGGGGGAGGGAGCCGGGGGTCTGATGCTCTCAAACATTGCTGACTGAAGGGAATGTGTTTTGGAATAGCCTGGACAATATGTATCAAAAGTCTGAATCCATGGATAATTGTTGACACAGCGACTAACCCTTCTAAGTGATGTAACTTAAAGAAACAATTAGGCAAAAAAGCAAAGAGAGGTATACAAGTTTAATCAAGCATCATTGGTAACAGTGAAAAGGGATAAGTGGAACAAGACCAGTACTGTGCACATCCAGTGAAAAGCTATAGAGAGGTTAAAAATGGTA